CTATTTCAGCTATCATTAATTGCCTTGCGCTGCTAATGACACTTCAGCCGCTCTCTCTCTTTTGTTTTCTTTTTTTCCTCAGAAACTGAGTAATGAGGCTAATTCGACTGTAGTTGACTTCTAATTTGTAAAATAAATTTGCCGACGTTACTATGGTATGCATGCATAAATTTTATGTGAAACAGAAGCTTCGGTTCTACTGCTATTCTGAAAGATGATAGTATCAATTCCTGAAATCTCATATATCTTCCTAGGAATGAGTTACATATTCAGGTTCATATGTATTTCGCTTGCTTACCAGAAGACAAAATACCTTATGTGAATTCGGCTGGTGAAGAATGGCGAACACGCCAGTTGTATTATCAGTTACCACCACAAGATTCTGATGTAGGCTATTGTGGTAAGTTGAGCAATCAAGAAGTACGTGAACTAATACAATTTGAAGTGGGTCGAAAACGTGAGTGCCTTGGACGCGGTATTATCGAACAGCTCCCGTACGACAACAAGCGACGGCATTGCCACAAGGTTTTACAGTTATCCTTTAATTGCAAACATTGAATTTAATATTCTCATTTTGCTTGCCTTTTGATTAAGCAATATAAAAATGTCTGTGAAATCCTCCAGGTGGATTCATGCATTTTATTTTAATGTCACTATACTCTGAAATTTTAATAAATTTGATAGTTTTCTGGTTATAATTTGCTTGAAATTTCTTTGCGCTACTCAACTTAACCTGTCAAATTTACTCAATTGCAGTGCAAAGAATCATTAAGTGAAGGAAACTTGGTGATTAATGCTGAAAGGTTCGGGCGTGATGTACACTGGCATCCTCAATGCTTTGTTTGCACGGAGTGCTCAAATCTCCTTGTTGACTTGATTTATTTTAAGCATGGGGCTGACGTGTATTGCGGCAGACATCACGCAGAGCAAATCAAACCCAGGTGTGCCAAATGTGATGAGGCAAGTTCAGTTCCACACCAACATTTTGCAATGATGTTTTTCTCTTATTTTTTTTACCAAATTCCTATTCTGAATGCTTCATTTATCACATTTCACATCCACTCTCTATTTAATTTGCCAAGTAGCTCCTATAAATGCATTCGGTTTGTCATACGAGTTTTGATACAATACCTTGATGCAAGCAATGACATCGTTCGTTGCTTACAGAGGAGGAAAATTTTGAATTTTGGGACAGATGTTTTGAGGTCAATATTAGCTTGCAAACATTCTCATCCGCCCATTATTACATGCGCAATGCTTCTATCGATTTTCCATTCCTTTCTAATTTCTAATTCTCCGATCTACTCCATATTTCAAAAACCATTATCTCAGTCATTATGAATTCTGACGATATAAAATTTAAGACTCATTGGCGATTTTCTTTTTAGCGTGTAAATGAAACAATGACGAAATAAAGAAATATCATGAAAGAACTCGTAAAACCTAGAAAGTAGTTGCTTTCAATATTGTATTTCTCGCATTAGTCACCACTTTCCCTAAATAAGAGAAGCTTTCCACGGCGCTCATAATTAAGTTTTAAATTATGAAGCAAGCCTTAGCACTTCAAACCAAATGTTAGTTGATCATTAACAACTGACATCACGTGAGAAGAGGCACCAAGTAAGAATTGTGACAAAGAGTGTCAGAAAAAATGATAAAATTCGTAAGTCAAGACTTTCTTTATTTAATTCAACTATATTTCCTTAGTGGCAAAAGCTACTCTTTTCGAAGTCTAGGAGGATATTGGTAGGGCTCTTTGAAGAGCAGTTTCTGTCCGCAGACAGAACCTTGGTTTAAATAAAAAAAAATAGGACTTCTAAAAGTCTTTTAACTAGTATTGAACTAGATTTTGATACCACCATTAAAATTGGTTTGTTTGCTGTACGGAAACTCTAAGATACATGAATATAATTTACAATTTGAATTTGTGTAAGTCGCTGATTAATCAATAAGCAATAACAACTCCCCCTGTAGCACATCTGTGCGCAACAGGTCGCATTTTTCCAAGTTATAACGTATATATTATATATTAATAACCTTTGCGTGTAAGGTCATGATGGTATTTATAAAACTTAACATCATTACATCTAACTTTGAATTTAAATTGAATCGATGATATTGACGAAAACGTATATCATTGTCTCAAAAACGAACGTAAATCTTTTTTACCTTTCACATCTTTCTTCCATCTCTTGAACATTCTTAATATCTCGCCATTTTCAGATGCTAAAGATGAAGTTTGTGACTGTAAAAGTCACAGTTCTTCCTATTATGGGTTAAAAATTTTGTACCTTAAAATTTCAGCTGATATTCAGTGAAGAGTGTACGGAAGCAGAAGGAAGAACATGGCACATGGCGCATTTCTCGTGCTCAGATTGTGGTGTTCAACTCGGTGGTCAAAGGTATTTCACAGTTTTCTTAAATATCAGAGTTATTTGCATAATGCACAGATCTCTTAATCATTTGCAGGTATATTGGAAGAAATGATAGGATGATATGCATTTCTTGTTACAATGAAAATCCCTCATTGGTTTGTAACACCTGTGAAAAAGAAATTGTTGTCGATGAGCCGCATATAATTCAGGTTCTTTCTGTTATATATATTGTTATCACTTTAAAACTTCATTTGTCGTCAGTTGTGTCAGCCATTGTTTGATAACGATTTATATCTGTTCGGGTTTCTGGTTTTTTTTTTTTTTTTTTTTTTGAGATGTTGGGTTTCGTTTCAGATATCAATGTTCCAGAGCATTGAAAAACCTATTTTAATACTGTAATCAGATTGATGGGTAGAGTAATGAGGATAGATTTTCTCCCTGAAAAAATGAAACATGTATAAGTCAAAGTTTCATGCTTGACTTTATCTATTAAGCCATAGTTTACGCAAGAGGTTTCGCTTTACACTTGTAAGCTGAACTGTATGTGAGAGTCAATGAAAAATACAAAGACATCGAAAAATTTTATCAGAATACAATTTCAGAATGATATACATTGGCATGCTGACGAGCGTTGTTTCTGTTGTAGTGGTTGTGGTAAAAATTTGTTGGGAAAGAGGTACTCATTTAGGGACGAAAAATTATATTGCGTTACGGATGCGAACTGCGGAAAATGGTATTCAAAGGTACTGTTTGTTTGGTATTTTATGTTTCTTTTTCCATTCTTAATGGCTGTAATATTGATCTCATTTTACAATGAAATGAGACCTATCACTTGTTACAATCTACTAGCATATTTTCCACTAATTCATTCATTATTTACATTTATTTACTTGTCGCTTTTCATCTTATATAAATCTATATATCAGGTGACATTTAATAGCAAAGTGATGTCCGTTTCAAGTAGACGTCGAGGAGCGGTACCGGAGCCACCATCTCGAGATCCTCCTTCACCACCAGCCGAGAATATTTACGAAACTGTTTTACCATGTTTCTCGAGGGAATGGGATGATATAAGTGGAATCGAACATTTGCGAGGGTGACATTTCATTTTTTCAACAACGTATCTTTCATTTATTGTTTGACAGGATCTAACTTTTGATCCACGAATGTTTGATTTTTGATGGTATTGTAAATACCGTAGGTGTAATCGCCGATCACAAAGTGCTGATGTTCGGCGACCGTGCTGTGATGAATACTGTAGGAAAGAATATTGCAAAAAAAAGGGTGATTACGAAGATAACAAACAAAATCTTTATTCTCGGATGCCACCACCCTCACCATTTCTAACAAGAAGGCATCAGCGATGCAGGTAACTATTAGCTAGAGAATGCAAAAGCGAAATTTTTGGTATCCTGAACTTGCTTAACTTTTGATCACTTTTTTTTGCAAAATTTCGATGGATTCTTATGTGCTATGTTACTTGTTGGGCAAAGGCCATATAATGAAAATGAACATACTTAGACGGTTTGCTTGGTGAAATAATTTAAATTTCCAGTTCGTGTAGTTCATCCGAAAGCGATAGTGATGATGTATACTTGTTAAATTATTTAGCTGCGTCTCTTTCTCAGTTCAACAGAACAACTGTAAGTTTCTTTTTATACCTAAGTTAACACTGTCATTATGTCATGTGAGTTCTAAGGATTTTTTTGTTTGCCATATCTAATCTAAGAATTTCTGCTTTTTAACCGGAGAAACTAATTTTATAAAATTCTTTATTATTGAAATTAATGAAGTTTTTATTGCAGGGTACAGTTCAAAGCAATAGAAGTTGTAACAGAATACAAACCGCAAAGAACAAATCATCGAGTAATTGTATAGTATCCTGAAATTTTAAATAATGTGATAACCAATGAGCAAAGATATTCCAGTTTTTCTTGTGAATCATATGCAACGAATTCTCTGCTGTAATAGTGTGCCTTTGCAAACTAATGCTTTTTATGTGATTACCCATTGTTACGCGGGGAGGAAAGAAGGTTAAAGATCTTCAGTGCAGAAAGTGCTTACAAAATCTATTAAAATAATGTTGTTTTCTTAAATTCATGCGTTCCGGAATATCAGAAGGGAATTAAAATTTTACCCAGTAATATATGTGACTGGAATGAATTTCATTTTATGGCAAATGAAGATCACAACTGATTTTCGCTTTAATAAAAAGTGCACCGAAAATTGTTCTCAGAGTGAATTCGTATGCTGATTATTGAACTCTATCATTGTAAGCGTTGCTCCCAACAAAAATGAAAGAATAATCCAGGAAATTCTGAGAAGTAAGCGAGGTCAAAGGATTAGAAATGCGAAGAGCAATACGACAAGGTATAATTAGCGGGAGACTTCCCAATGTGGATAAATCTTATTACAATTTATTGATAACTCACATTTTGGCGTGTGGTTGTAGGAAAGCTTTTATGAATTGAAATCCTTGCAAAAGAAAGGTGGTCGAGACTTCTATGCAAGCCTTGGCTGATGCGTCAAGAGTATCCTCTCAATCTACGTTTAACTTCCACTGGCTTCAAATTATATCTTTGTTTTCGGACTTATTGAACTAAAAATTTACCATTGTAGTTCGCAATGACTTCGAAGTTAACAGATTGCTTCAAAAGTCTGCGCCTGGTTCCAGTACCATTTGGTGAATATCAGAGAAATGATCCCGACACGCCTCCTATTATGGTTGGTTGTTTGATGTTTACCCCGTTTATTAAAACCTATGAAACACGTCTTTCCCGAAAGCTACAAAAAAAAAAAGAAAAAGAGAAAAAAGAAAAATTCCTTATGGCATTGTATGGGACTTTTATTCCAGGTTAATTTTCGTTTACCGGATTTATGGCGAACTGTACGAATAGAATTTAAAAATGACGAAGAGCGCTTATTCACTGACCGTTCAACCATATGCAAGCTTTCTAAAGTCTGCGCCAATGAAGTTGAAAATCTTGTGCGTATTATATATTATTTACTTTATTTCTGACAATAGGAATATTAACCACATAATTGATATATCATTTACATAAGTGCACTGAATTGGTGGGATTGAAATCTGAGGCTGTAAAAGTGATTTCTAGTTTAATTTAGCAAGTTTTGAAAAATCACTTAACGTAACAGAATTTTTGATAATCCGAAATACTGATAGACATAAGCATGTCAATTATTAAATACATTTAATTCCAGGAAAAGGCAGGACAGGAGCTTGTCATTCGATTGGACAATGTAACCTGCGATGCTATGGAGCGTCTGCTTTTTGCCGTCTGTCCTACAATATATGGGCAGTATCCAATTCCTCCAACAAGTACTAGTCCTTAATTTCATTTTTTCTACTTCCTGATGACATTATTCTCCCCTGATGAAATTAATACATCAGCCTATTACTTTAGTTTTCGATGTTTGTATTATCTGTCCAGTTGCTTGCTCCCTGCAAATGGATATGGTTATCATGATGTGCGAAAAGGTAACATTATTCACAGATTTCTGATAAACTAGCTTCAACTTGGAGATAATATTATCGCGACTGCATACTGTCATAAACATACTTTTACCAGGTTCTGGAAAACGATATACACTCGGAACTTACGCCGACTGATTTACTCATCAGTTCCTTTAGCACGGCATATAAATGTCAACTGAAACCAACATTGCAGGCGAAACTATTCACCAAAATTCTGGAATGTGAGTACTGGAAATTAAAACTCTCTTTAGTTCGTAAAGTCGATTCACCCTGTTTGCGCATTTTCTTGTGGTAGGTGTTTTTATATGTAAAATCTCACTACCTTTTTATGAAATAAGATTTGTTAAAATGACCTCGCTAGATGTAGTCAACCTATGATTTGCAATATTCAAAATGCAAGGAAGTTCTTAAACTTCCCTGATCTCTTCACCGCTCGTTACGACAGTTTTAGTGACATAACGAGAATCGATTCCAGTTTCTCATACATACTATCTAGTAATCATTTGTAGGAACTTCAGAGAAATGAGTCGCACTACCTTGTGTTTGAAAAAAGCGCTTAAAGAACATTGTTACGTGAGACGCAGAAAATCCTGGGTAGGCGAAGACCTAGATCCACCAACGAAAGAATTGTTCCGACTTTGCATCTACAACGAATTACTGTTTTCGCATGTCACAATAACTGTACAAACAGAAGTTTATAAATCTACCTGTAATCTATGTGAGAATTCTTCACACATTATGAGTATAGGAAACTGTACTATGAAAACCGTTCCAAAAAAACTTTTTCTGTGTCAGCAGTGCAATAAAACACTGTGCTCGAGTTGTGAGGCAAGTTTTTGTATTCCGAAATTAGTTGAATTTCTGGAAGATGTCCGTGAGGCTGAAAAATCTCCGGATATGTTGAAAAAGCTTTGTACTCTTGTTGCACTAAATTCTTCCGATCACGATGCCGCTAGAGCATTAGTAAACATTCATTAACGGTCTTTTGCCTAGTTTCCGACAATAGTGAATTACTGCTATTCCCTATCACATCCCCATTTCTGATGCCCATATACAAGCACATATATAAAAAATATATATTTCAGCCGAAGCGAACATTTTCATTTTGTTCTGATCATCATGGGTAGATATCTCTCTCATAGTGACATGAGCCATTCTGGGCAACATAGTCGATTTATCTATACTATGGTAATAAGTGGAATCTAAATTATTCTTTCCCATAGTTGCATGAATTTTATATCTTGCGATTACACTGAACTTGTTATAATACTCTAAATTTTGAATATTCGTACGTTCCGTATGTTGCCCTGTTATTGCGAACAATGAAGACGCTGACTGCGGTTTAGTATCATGTATGTTACTTGTTAAATAAAACCTACAGTTTCAGACAATGACTTCTGCCCTGTAACAATTCCTTTGCACCGAAACATGTGTAAAGCCAATCTGCCTGTAAATTAAGGAGCTGCAGAATAAAATCAAAATCTGTTAGAAATTCCATCGGATTCACACTTTACTAAACCTACAAATTCGGCGAACTGCCGGCTAAAGTTGTAGAGATATTTGCAATCGTAGCCGTGAATTAAACATGGAATTAGGTTCGGCCAACTTAGCATTTCATAGAAAGAACATGACCCTATTATCCAAATAATTTAGCTAGTTCCGAAATTTTAGATGCTGTACAGAACCAAATGTTGGCAAACTGTATTGTAAATGAGAGCTTCACATCCTGAAAACTTTTTGCACCGTAAAATTTTAATTTAGTGTGAGCTTGATGATAAATTAGCACAACAATAAAGAGATTCAATGGTTAAACCCACCGGTTTATTCACCTCTGTCACAAATGGAGATTGCTATGATTTGGAAAAAGCAGCATTTTAAAACCTGCTATTAGCTAATCATTTAAAGAGAACCAAAACATAGTTAAAGATAAAACACGTTAATATTTCTATGAAGTGTGATAAAAGGGCATGACTGGTCAAACCTGCGGGAAGAAGTCCTTTCTCAATACCTCTGAAGAGGGATACAGCAAACAACAGTGACGGATTAAGGAAATTCGGTATCTCAGTTATCCCGAGTCAAGTAATTCCGAAAACATTAAATAAGAGATATGAGTGGTACAAGGGAACAAACATTTTTGAAAAGCATTACGGATGCCTAACTAATGTTCACACAAAAAAGTAACATAAAAAAGTCCAAGTAATACTTAATGCCGAAAGAAGTTTACTGATGATATATGCAATTTCTAAATCAGATAAGATTTCCCCTCATCTCACATTGGACCACCTGCTCAACAGTTTGAATTTGGTACCTCTCTTTCAATCCAACTCACAGAGAGTCAAATTATACAATCACTATATTTAATTAAAGAACTTCACTTTGAAATATACGGCACAACCTGTCAATTTCATTACAAATTGGTGCAAAAAATATTCCACATAATACTTCCAGAAATATAAACGTCCAAGACAATAGAAAAAAAAGCCAAAGATGAATCAACATGGCCATCAAAATCAGAAAAGCACCTTCAGTACACAAACGAAAAAGCGAAAATTCAAGAAAACTTGATTAAATCTCCATAGCGGGCAAAAAAAAACATTGAGAACGTCCCTAAAGCTAAGCCTGTAGTCTGTAACGAAAGAACAAGAAACGCATCAACATAACCATTTTCCAGTGCTTCTTCCATTGTAGATTTCATTTCGGGCATCTGCAACTTTAACTTTTATTTAACTACAGCTTCCAAGTGATTTTAAAAAACACATATGATGGAAAGACAATATAAATAAACTTCGCACCATACACGAAAGGGCAATGTATAGGAACATGCCACCCGAAAAACCAAAAATGTATCGTAGAAGTGATTCGACACTACCCAGGACGACACCAATAATGAATCCTACGAAGCAGGTAATCGTACTAAGTAGATTATAAAATAAAGCTTGCTTCTGGTTCATACCAGCATTCAACAAAATTGCCACATCGCCTGAAGAATCAAACGTTTACAATTCGTTCTCTGAGAAAAAGCATTTCAGGATTATGATAATTTTTCTGTAAAAATACTTATCAATTTCAAACAAAGCCGTTTAGCCGACAACCTGAGAATGCTCCATACTACCTACTGCTACCCGCTGTGAGAAAAACAGCAGATACTATTGCTTGTCTTCGAAAATCAGCACACATTTGTGGAACATGTGGTGCGTTTTTACAGTAACCCAGGACGAACGAATTTGGAAAAGTTCTGAAAAACGAACAACAATGATCGCTTTTTTCCCTTTTCAGACCCATGAAGGTAATAATGAGTGTAATAATATTTCGGTAAAAGAAATTGAATTAAACGCTGAACAATCATGTGAGTAAATAAACTGAAATAATAATGCTGCAACCACTTATAACTTCCTCTTTTAGCTGTTATTATCAAATGAATAACCTAATTCATGTGGGAACTCTTCGGCAAATACTGACACACTGACGCTCAGACCACTTAATAGAGATTCACTAAAAGCAGCACCAATACTGACTCCATCGATAAAATTATGCAAACCATCTCCGAATACAATCATCCATGCTACCGTTTTTATTGCCGAGTCTTTGGTCTGATTGAAAGTTATTTCATGGTCATGAACACAAATACCATGAGCCTGAAAAGAAAGTTTTTAGCTACTTCATATATATATATATATATATATATATATATATATATATATATATATATATATATATATATATATATATATATATATATATATACATACTAACAGATGCAATTGTATCAACCTCCTAAAATATACCAATCTTTTTGCTACTGATATTTTGCAAAAATTCTAATTTCATTATCATAATTTAAGAGCAGTTCACAACTCGAGATTGGAGCGAATTGTGGTGCCAACCTCGTTGCTTTGTTTGAGCAATGATGTTCGTTTTCCGTATCCTTTCATTCGTCCCGATGTTGGAAATCGGATTAAAAAAAAAAAAAAAAAAAAAGTTAACTGAGATTTCTGAAAGTCTCGGCTGAAAATAAAAATCACTGTAAATAGCATTTAGGTCTTTTTTTTAAAGTTTTTTTTAAAAAAAAAAAAAAAAAAACGTAGTACCTGTCTTGACATGTCGAGACTGGAACGAATTGTGCTATCAACGTCGCTGTTTTGCTTGAGCAATGATGTTCGTTTTTTGTATCCTTTTATTGATCCCGATATTGGAAAAGCATCGGACTTGAAATTATTATCTGCAAACGACAGAGTCGCAAGCTTCACTTGGTATGGTTGCCATAACAGAAACTTCCTGATGCCTCAAATATTTTGGTGAAAGTTTTCCCAATACATTTCATCAGTAATTTTTTTGCGTAGTATTCAAAGTCACTTATCTCACATTAAAACTTAACAACACTTTACATTGATCGATAATAACAAAAAAGTGCAATAAAACAACCAAACAACGCATATACCGTTTTCATTGATTAAAGCATCTGTCGAACGAATCGAAACAACTCCGGCTTCCGTGCTTATATGAGTTCCAACGTTATTCAACAATTCAATTTCATTCATCTAAATAATGCAGAGAAACGATGAAACGTAATGCAAGGAATGAAAACTACTGCATAAAGAGAGAAGGCCATATATATATATATATATATATATATATATATATATATATATTATATATACATTTTTTTTTCATAAAACTCTTTCATAATAAGTGTAACATTCCATTGAAACAAAATTAAACATATCCTAAGCAATGAAGAAAGCAGTGAAAAGACCTTCTTTGACTCAAGGGTGATTTTAATGAATTTATCACAGAAGAAAAAGATATATATTCCAAATATACAAAACATCATAACCACGATAAATTCGTAGTTTTCGCCATCAACGACTCCTAAGCCCTGAAACGAGGATAAGAGCGATGGAGATATTTCGAAGAAGACTGTAATAAAAGTAAAATACTTTGAACTGCGGTAAAAATAAAATCACTAGGACGCATACACATTCGTAACATCAAAGACTTGTTTGTACACTTACATATTTTTAACAAAATTTGGATAGATATAGGACTGCAGGGAAAAATACATGTTCATAATATTTGTAAAAAGGGAATTGTACGTGCGCTAAAAACTCCAGTATTTTGTAAAAAGCTTCAGTGTATTTCTTATTTTTATGAAGTGAAAGATTTTTATTTGCAGAAAAATTACTTGGAAACACATAAGTATATATAAACTAGTCTATCATTCAATAATGTTCTATTTGTAGAAAGCTGTATGTAAAGTTAAATTCGATGAAGTTGTGCCTACTGTATTTCCAAAAATTGATAACGGTATGACAATCATATTCTAAACAAATTATATAAAACGTTGGCCTAGGTTTCATATTCAAAGAGTAACATTTTCAAAAAATATAAGTTCAAACAGTTCTTTATTTAACTTAGCAACTGCATAATATAATGTAAGCAGTATGCTATCAGTAGTTCGCTTGATGCTAATTAGTGTAATTTAACGCGCTCATTAATGATAATAACAGTAGAAATAACTAAGCTATATTATCATTTACCATTCACCAAAAATCATCCCAAATAAACATCTTATACGACTCTAAGATAAAAAACATATAACGCTTTCTAAAACCGAAGTTGTTTCATCTCTTGATATTTCAGCTTAAACTGATTTTTATTGTAATTTCCTTGAATATTTAAGACAGTCTTTATATCTTAGAGGTGTGAGCATTACTATTTTTCAAACATCGTGCTTGAATTTCTGGAACAGATATTTAAAAAATATTTCAGATTTTCACGGTTGTGCATTAATAAAGTCAAAAAACTTATTAAAACTGAATATATACTATGTTTGTCTTAATTACGCCACTTAACATACTACATAGGCTAACAAGATATTAAACAATTGATTAAAAAGTATATTTTCTTTAAATTCATATCTTATACAATGTTTTAATAAATTGAGAAAGCAAGAAAGTAAAGACACAATGTTCTAAAAT